TCCCAAAAATAAATAAACGTTGAAAAAAAAAAATTAAAAAAAAAAAAAAAAAAGAGAGACAGAGTGTGAGTAGGGGAGGGGCAGAGAGAGAGGGAGACACGAAATCCAAAGCAGGCTCCAGGCTCCGAGCTGTCGACACAGAGCCTGACGTGGGGCTCAAATCCACGAACCTGAGCCGAAGTCGGACGCTTAACCCACTGAGCCACCCAGGTGCCCCAAAAGCTCACCTTCTGTGATTGACTTCTTTCATGTATCATGATTTCAAGGTTCCCCCTTGTGGTATATGTTTCCATACAGTACTTCATTCTTTTTTATGACTCACTCATATTCTACTGTATGGATATACCGCATTTTTGTTCTCTGCTCATCCTCTGATGGACATCTGGGTTGTTTCCATCTTTCGGCCCTTGCGGACAGTGCTTCAATATGAGCATTTCTTACCTATACTCGAGAGAGGACACAATATCACCTGTCTTGGAGGAAGTGAGTGAGAATCTGAGAGATGGCTGGATTCAGCAAGTGAACAGACAGGACCACCGAGGTAAATTTGAATGTCAGATAAACAGCAGTTATTTTTTTTTTTTAATGTTATTTAAGTTTATTTATTTATTTATTTTGAGGGAGATAGAGACAGTGTGAGCAGGGGAAGGGCAGACAGGAGGAGGAGGGAGAGAATTCCAGCCAGAATCCCAGAGAATCTCTGCCAGTGCAGAGAGCCGGACACGGGGCTCGAACTCACAAAACTGAGAGATCATGATCTGAGCTGAAACCAAGAGTTGGACATTCAAGCGACTGAGCCACGCAGGTGCCCCAACAATAGTTTTTGTTTGTTTGCTTGTTTTGTTTTGTTCTTAGCATACGTATGCTCCCATTCGATATCTGGGACACATTAGGACATAGTTATACCCCGCCAGACCTGGAACCTGTAACTCCTGACCTCTGGTTCAGAGTTCTGCCTTTCTTGGCTTGCTCCTCCCACCCTGGGAGCTTGAATGAATCAAACCTTTTCTGCCCTTCTCACCCAGGAGAAAGAACAAATCACAAGCAGTTGGATTCATATTCGGAATTTTATGTTTTAAAACCTTGCTGTAAGTTTCCAGGTCATCAGGGTCTCTCCTCCCACCCATCCCCCACCCCCAGGCAGGGAGCACCAGGGGCTGCTGCTTTGCCGTGGCTCCAAAAATCCTGTCCATAGAGCCCAGGATTCATTGTCTGGAAGGGCTTAGAGATCCCCACATCCCAGATACACCCCGTCGTCTTAAATAGAAGGTAACTACAGCCAGCGAAGTGCCCGAGGTCACCTGCCAAGGCCAAGGCAAAGCTTTGATTCAAACCCAAGGCTACTGACAAGGGGGGGTAGGGGGGAGCTCAGCATGGCCCCCTGGGATTAGCAGAACCAGCAGCAGCTGGGAGTGGGTTACAAAGGCAGATTTTCAGCCCAGATCCCAAACTACTGAATCACAAACTCCCAGGGTGGGGCCCAGCGATCTGTGTTTTAAATAAGCCTCCCTGAAATACGAATCAATACCACATTGAGATTTCACCTCACACCAGAGTGGCTAAAATTAACAACTCGGGCAACAACAGGTGCTGGCGATGATGCAGAGAAAGGGGAACCCTCTTGCACTGTTGGGAATGCAAACTGGTGCAGCCACCCTGGAAAACAGTGTGGAGGCTCCTTAAAAAATTAAAAACAGTGGGGCGCCTGGGTGGCGCAGTCGGTTAAGCGTCCGACTTCAGCCAGGTCACGATCTCGCGGTCCGTGAGTTCGAGCCCCGCGTCAGGCTCTGGGCTGATGGCTCAGAGCCTGGAGCCTGTTTCCGATTCTGTGTCTCCCTCTCTCTCTGCCCCTCCCCCGTTCATGCTCTGTCTCTCTCTGTCCCAAAAATAAATAAACGTTGAAAAAAAAAAATTAAAAAAAAAAATTAAAAATAGAATTACCCTATGACCCAGCCATAGCACTACTAGGAATTCCTCCAAAGGATACAGGATTGTTGATTTATAGGGGCACATGTACCCCAATATTTATAGCAGTGCTATCAACAGTAGCCAAATTATGGAAAGAGCCTAAATGTCCATAAACTGATGAATGGGTAAAGAATATGTGGTTTAGGGGAGCTCTTGGGTAGCTCAGTCGGTTAAGTGTCCAACTTTGGCTCAGGTCATGATCTCACAGCTTGTGGGTTTGAGCCCTGCATCGGGCTCTGTGCTGACAGCTCAGAGCCTGGAGCCTGCTTCAGATTTTGTGTCTCCCTCTCTCTCTCTCTGCCCCTCCCCTGCTCACGCTGTTTCTCTCTCTGTCTCAAAAGTAAATAAAAATTTTTTTTAAAAAAGATGTGGTTTACATATACAATGGAATGCTACTTGGCGATGAAAAAGCATGAAATCTTGCCATTTGCAACAACGTGGATGATGCGGGAGGGCATTATGCAAAGTGAAATAAGCCAGTCAGAGAAAGACAGGTATCATATGATTTCACTCATATGTGGAATTTGGGAAACTTAACAGATGATCACAGGAGAAGGGAAGGAAAAAAAAAGTTACAAACAGAGAGGGAAGCAAACCATAAGAGACTCTTAAATACAGAGAACAAACTGAGGGTTGATGGGGGGAGGGTTGGGGCTGGGGAAAATGGGTGATGGGCATTGAGGAGGGCACCTGTTGGGATGGGCACTGGGTATTGTATGTAAGTGATGAATCACAGGCATCTACTCCTGGAGCCAAGACTACACTGTGTACATTCTATGTTAGCTAATGTGACAATCAATTATTAATAAATAAATAAAAACAAACAAACAAGTCTCCCTGGAGATTCTAGCGTGTGCTCAAGAATTGAGATCCCACACTATTTCCTGAATCTAGAAAACAGGTTTCCAAAATTAGGAAAAACCAAACAAACTTGGAAATAAGGTAAGAATATTCTTTTCGTTTCTCTGACCGAAAATTAATCAAGGGTGAAACAGAAGGGCCTTCTTCTTGAATCATTTCCTAAGGTCCACCGTATATCGTCACCCCAGAGAGTTTGCCCAGCTGTTGAAGCAGGCTTCCGGTTCTGCAGATGGAAAAGTTCAGTCACGCTAATGTGTGTCAACCCCACAGGAAGTTCTGCAAGGCCAGGGGCTGGGTCTGGTCCTCTGCCGTGGCCACAGAGTGCAGCGTGCAGGAGGTGCTCAAACTTGTTCAACAAGGCTCGCTGGAACATTTTCTTGACATGCGTGTCTCAGCATGTGACTTCCCTGGGTCAAGCCGTATGCAGGCACTGCAGTTACAGAGACAGTCCTGGCAGGGCGCCTGGTGGCGGTGGGGGGGGGGGGGGGCTCGGGGTCTGGTGGAGGCAGCTGGAGGTGTTGTACCTTGGGTGCAGGGAGCAAGAGGCCAGGCTGGGGTGGGCGGTGGTTGGGGAGGGCATGGCTGATGCAATCCCAGCACAGGGAGGCTTGTCAGGAGGTGACACTCCATATTAATCAGGGTTTCTGGAGAAACAGAACCAGTAGGATGTGTGTGTGTGTGTGTGTGTGTGTGTGTGTGTGTGTGTGAAGAGGTGTTTTAAATTTTATTTAGAGAGAGAGAGTATGTGTGTGAGTGGGGAAGGGAAGGGAGAGGAGAGAGAGAGAGAGAGAGAGAGAGAGAGAGGTGGGGTAGGGGGGTGGTGGTGGGAGAGAACCTCAAGCAGGCTTCATGCTCAGCATGGAACCCGACTTGAGGCTTGATCCCATGACCTTGGGATCATGACCTGAGCCGAACTCAAGAGCCAGATGCTCAACCGACTCAGCCACCCAGACACCCCTGTAAAGAGATTTATCATAAGGAATTGGCTCACATGATTATGATCGTTGGCAAGTCCCAGGATCTGCAGAGTGAGTTGGCCAATTCAAGCCCCAGGAGAGCTGATGGTGTCCTTCTAGTGTAAAGTCTGGCAGGCTGGAGAGCTGGGAAGAAGCGATGTTTCAGTTCACGTCCAAAGGCTGCAAAAGACGGACATCCATCTCCACCAGTCAGGCTCTTACGCAGACTCTTAATTCTATTGAGGCCTTCAACAGATTAGATGAGGCCCACCCACACTCGGGGGGAGGTGGCAATCTGCTTTACTCAGAGTACACATTGAAATGTTAATCTCATCTAAAAACACCCTCACAGATACACCCAGAATATTTGACTAAATATCTAGGTACCGCATGGCCCAGTTAACGTGACACATAAAACTAACCATCCGAGCTGATGCTGATAGAGGTTGAACAAAGGTTTGCCAGGTGACAAAAGGCACTGGGAGGAGAGGGTACAGCACCTGCCAAGGCTTGGAAGTAAAGGCCACACTGCGTATCTGGGGATGCTATAGCATAGGCTGTGGGAGCCCCAGGGAGTAGGACAGGCCACAGGTTGCACAGGAGAGCAGGGTTTGGGCTGGTGGCCGAGGTGGGTTTGAGCTGCACTGGGGCACTGTGGAGCGTCCAGGAGGCAGCCAGCTGAGCCAGGGGACAGGACAGTGCTCCGTGCCACGGTCAGAGCTCCAGAGGCGTCAGCAGGATCTGCACGGTTTTGGAGACGCGGAGGGGATGAGAGAGTCAGGAGGAAGGGCCAGAGGGAAGAGAAGACGGGCCATGTTAAAGCTGTGACATTCACGACTCCCAGCCTGTACTCCCAGGAGGGCCTCTGTGACCTGGCCAGCGAGGCCTCTGAAGCTGGGCCAGCTCCTACCTGGCAGGGGCAGGTAGGAGATTGTTGGGGACCACAAGGCAGCTCTTCCGGGACTGGCAGCATCTACCGTTCCCAGTCTCCCATTACACAACCGAGTGTCAGAAAACAGCCAGAGTGGACTTCCCAGGCAGGGCCAATCCCATGTTTGCTCTGTCCACAATGAATCAAGCCCCAGCCATGGACAGTCACATGCCATCAATGCCCAGCTGCCCTGTGCTGGGAAAAAGAGGAAAAGACGAGCAAGAAGGGGAGAGGCGGGCAGGTGGATTCCAGTCCCAGCTTCCTGACTGGGCCATGGCCTTGGACTGGTCATGCCTTCTCTCTGGGCCTCAGTTTCTCTAAGAGCGGCTGCGTTTTCTGGCACACTGACCGTGAGCGGGAGCCCTGTTGAGAGTGATACGTTTTCATCTCATGCACAGCTCTCATGAGACACGTGTTACTCTGCTGGTTCTTCAGATGAGGGAAGCCAAGTCCAAAGAGGTTACATAAATTGTCCAAGACGACAGAACAGGATCTGAACTTGAGCAAATCTTTTTGAGTGTTTCCTCAGCCCAAACACAAAGTTCCTAATTAGGATCATTTGCTCTGCCAGTGTATTCTTCGTGGCCGTTCACGTAGAAGCTCACAGATTAGTCATCAGGCACAGAGCTCAGCCCTGGCCTCAAGGGAGAGACAAGTATAAAGCGGCTTTCTTGGAACCGAATCATTTACAGCGGGTGCGTTTCCCCGATCATCTAAACCTCACCGTTCACCTGACCTTTCTGAGCCATTTGCTTCCTTATCCATCCAATGGGGAAAGTATCTATTTTCTTGAACCTACTATCTACATATTTCTGCATTTTGATGTCTTTAGAAGTGGGATGTATCCTAAAATCCCAGAAGTATTTCTTTTTTCTTTTCTTTTTTAAATTTTATTTTAGAGAGGGAAAGAGAGAGCAAATGGGGGAAAGGAGCAGGGGGAGAGGGAGAGAGAACGGAGACCGACAAGGGGCTCAATCCCATGACCCTCTATCATGACCTGAGTCAAAATCCAGAGTCGGACTCTTAACCAATGGAGCCACCCAGGCGCCCCCTGGAGGTACTTCTGTAATGCAAGAATCTGTCTTTTCTCCCTACCCCAGCTTGTCAATACACTGATGGTAGTGGTGTTATGACTGGCCAACTCTTAGGAGCAAGTTTGTTTCTTATAACAAGCATTTCACAACTGCACGCTGATTTAATCCTCTTAACAACCTGATAAAGTAGCAACCATCAGTATCCGCATTTTACAGATGGGGAAACTGAGGCACAGAGAAGTTAAGTAACTGGCCCAAGGTCACACAGCTAGCAAGCGGTCAAGTCAGGACAAATATTTCCCCATCATCCCGTGTGGCCCTGATTGCTTTTCTATTTCCTGCCAAACTTCTCCTGACAAGATACCCGGGCCAGATGGAGGGGCAGGGTAGGGAGGGCTGTCCAGACCCTCCATCCAGAGAGGAGGGAGACCCTCCATCCATCCTTGACATGGAAGAAGATGGAGAAAAGTGTACTGTGTCAGGGGGAGTGCTGGGTGTGCTCCAAGCAACCATTTGGAGAGTAGCGCCTCCTGGGAGAGAGTGAGACAGACCTCCAAAGGGCACCTGGGCGACAGTGAAGACCACTCACTCCCGAGGAGCAGCACCCCATTTGCTCACCGTTAGAGAAGCTTTCATCTCTCCCTATGCTACTCACAAAACATCTGGCCACCCAACGCGATCCAAGGATAGGGCACAAGAGGGAAGAACTGTTCCCCTGGGGTCTGAACAGTGTTGGTCGTTCAGGGATGTTTAGGGCTGTGGGTCATTCTGTGCCGGAACCAGGCACCAGATCCCGCTGGACAGAGGTGCTTCTGTGTTATTTAATAAACTGTACGTGTGTGCACCCGCCTGTGTGTACGTGTGTGATATGGGAGATCCTCTAAAGCTCTGGGGTGTGGGCAGAAGCCCCAAGGGTCCGGGGTAATGGTAGTGCTGTCCCCATAGAACACCCAGCTTCGCTTTGACATAAGCAGTGTGTCAAATCTGTCCCCAGTCCCACTGCAGCAGCCTCTGACTGCTCTCCCAAGGTGGTCCCCTCCCCTCCCCCTCCCCACCTTCCCCACTGCAGACAGAGGGCTCTTTCTAAAGAGCAAATCTGACTATTCGTCTCCCACCCTACTTAAAATCTTTCTATTTCTTCCAACACCTGCAGAGCCCATTGAGAACTCCCCAGCCTGGCTTCTGTGCCCTGCACACTCGGTTCCCGCCGACCCTCTCCAGCATTGGCCCCGTCACTCCCGTGCTGTCTCATAGGGGCCCTCCAGGTCCTTTATGCGCCCCGCGTCCTGTCACCTCCACTCTTCCTTGCCAACAAGCTCCAATCCTTTTCTCAAGGCTCAGATTAGAGCAATGCAAATTCAGAACACTAAGTGAGCTGGCAAGCAAAGAAAGAAAAGAGGGATTTTCACTTCTGACGAGGTTGTGGAGAAAGGGACTCATCTGGGCATCGCCAAATTGGCACCGTATTAAACCGCGTTAGTGGTTTTTGTCTTCTCTGTTTGGGAAGAGAGTTGTTTTTTTTTTTTTTAAATCAACTTAATTGAGGTATAATTGGCGTACAATAAAATGCACACATTTTAGGTTTACAGTTCAATGAGTTTTCACAAACGTACATTATGTGTGTAACCACCCCTGCAGTGGAAATTTGGAACAATGCCACCTACTTCAGAAAGTGCTCTTACAACCTTTGGCAGTCAGACTCCCCTCCTTGCCCTAGGCAACCGCTGATCTGATTTCTACCATTATAGATTACTTTTGGCTATTCTAGAACTTTCTACAAATGGAAACGCTACAGTGTGTGCTTTCTTAAGTCTGGCTCCTTTTGCTCAGCGTACTGTTTTTGAGATTCATTCACGTTGTCTTACAAATCGGAAGTTCATTTGTTTTTATCGCGAAGTAATGCTCCATTTCCGAAAATGCCACAATGTGTTTCTCCATTTTCCCGATGATGGGTATTTGAACTGTTTCTAGTTTTTGGCTGTTTTGAATTACACTGTGAGTTTGTATGTGACACGTTTTTCTTTCTCTTGAACGGTATGGTAATTTTAGAAAGCGATTTGGCCGTTTCTGACACTTAGGAGAGGAAACATCACAATGTGAAATGCTATGGGCAATTATGTCTCAATAAAGCTGGAAAAATAAAACAAAATGCCATAGATATAAAGGGAGGACATGATTAGGTGTGTTGGAATCTAGGAAGCGAACGAAAGGAGATGCGTCCACTAAAATCATGACCGCGGACTGCCCCAAAACATGAAAAATGACTCAAAATACATGAAATGGACAAGAACATAGAATTGTAAGCACGACATAATAAAACTTTTTGAACGCGTTTATTCTTAGGGATATCAATCTGACCTTGCCAGGTAAAAATGCAAGCAGGCAATGGAAGCTCTCATTCTGCGACGGTGACCACTGGCCAGGGTTGGGGACCAACTGGTGAAAAGAGAGGCCCACCCCCCTGCTCACACAGCTCACCACATTTACTGGAATTAGGCAATATAACTTAGACGCCTCCTTCTTTTGGAAACATCACTTCTTTCCTCCAAGATTCGGCTGCCCCCCCACCCCACCGGACTTGTGCTGGTCCACAGCTGTTACCACAATCAGTTGGAATAGAATCCATGTTTTGCCCTCTCCCCAACCCTTGACCCTCTCCCATCCCATTCCCCACCCCCACCCCACCTAGCCTGGGAACTCTCTAAGCTGCCACCTGCGTTTGATTTACGGTTAGGTCTTGCTCAAGTCTGAGTGCTCAGTGGGACACGAATTGGGTAAAAACATAAGAGCTTTTAAAACAAAACAAAACAAAACACCCAAAAACATAAGCGCTTGCTTAGAGGCCCCTCTATTGAAATCTACCCATGTTTGACAATACCCCTCCAGCCCACACCCCCCTTAGCTTTGAACAGCCGGTCTAAGTTAGACCCACGCTTGCAGGCTTTAGCCACGGCCGGCTTTGGGGGAAGGAGGGAAAGGTTTGTGCCAGGCATTTCGCAAGCGCTCACCTGATGTGTCACCAGGGGGCTCCAGGACTCCACCCACAGCTCGTTATAAAGGTCACTGTACCCTACAGCCACCAGTTCTGCCCGACTCCAGGTGCCTCTCCCTCCAGGCATGGCGCTGTCCTGGGCCCTTGCTGTCCTGAGCCTCCTTCCTCTGCTGGAAGCCCAGAGCCCAGAGTGTGCCAACCTCACAGCGGCACCTATCACCAACGCCACCCTGGACCAGGTACATGCCCGGGGCCCCTGAGTGCTGTGGGCAGCTGCCTCCTCTCTGGGCTTCCCTTTCTCCTGCTGGCTTGTGGTCAGCCCCCATCCCCACCTCTGCCTTTTTCTCCTCCCGGGTCCTGGGGTGACATTCTGACCAGCGTCTGGGGGCATTCTTCTGCTTCCAAACTCAGAAGTCTCATTGCAAGGCCCCTCAGAGGGAGCCTCCTGTACTGCACGAGGGGCCGCCCAGCGGCTGGGGGAGGTGCCTGACCCTCAGAGTGACCTCCTGCATGTCCACTCCTCGCCTGGGGCCCCAGGCTCCCCGTGTGCAAAATGGAGGGAGAAATCTGCCCGGCTGGCAGGGATTCTGCCCTTGGCCTCCATCATCAGCTCCTGGCTTCTCTCTCCAACCCAGCTCTCCGGCAAGTGGTTTTACATCGCCTCGGCCTTCCGCAACCCGGAGTTCAACGAGTCGTCTAGAACGATCCAAGCAGCCTTCTTTTACTTTGACATCAACTACACAGAGGACAAAATACTGCTCAGAGAGTACCTAACCATGTGAGACCCCCCCCCCCCCACATGCTAGCCCCAGGCTTCTGCTCCTAGCTGCTGGGTAACCTTGATCAAGTCCCTCCCTCTTCCTGACCTCAGCCTTCTCATCCATGGAATGGGGAGGGTGGACTCTAATCACCACCGACTCTTGCCCCTCGATGATGGTGGCCAGTGATTGTCCACTTCTCCTTGACGGTCTTCCTGTTTTTCTCCCCCTTCTGTCTGTTAGAGGGAACCAGTGCGTCTATAACTCCAGCTATCTGAATGTCCAGCGGGAGAATGGGAGTCTGTCTAAACACGGTGAGGTCCAGCCCACACGTGGGAGCCTGGGGACAGGTGAATGGGCCAGCCAAAAGAGGAGGTGCTGGGGCTAAGGCCCTGGAGGCTGGAGGCACAGAGAACACAGGACAGGCCCATTTCTTCCATCTCCGAGGTCCTGGTGTCTGCACGCTGCAATACTCAGGAATAACTGCCAACATATGTGAGCTCTTATGTGCCAGGCACTGCTAGAAGTGCTTTACATGAATTGACCCACTGAATACTCACGGACAACCTTAGGAGGACATTAGAGCGATCACATGAGGAAACAGAGAAACAGAGATGTCAAGCAGTTTCCCTGGAGTCACACAGCCTGTAATTAGAACTAGGACTCAAACCCAAGTCTGGCTGTGGTCCTGCCTCTCTCCAACCACCTTTTCTCCTCTAGGACCTGAGGGTGGCAGTCTTTGTCTGGCACGCAGTGACTTCACTCATATCCCCGCTGTCACCCCAGAGAGAGCACATAGTAGGAATCTACAAATGCCAATGGAATTAAACCAACAGCACTCAGCAGCCCTGAGGCTCCTGTCTGGGCCTTATTTTCCTCGTCTGGAAAATGGGGCGAAAGGCCCTGACAGCCACAGCCCGTGTGAGGCTGTGATTCCACATAGTAGCACAGGGCCCGGCACACAATGGGACTAGGGATGTGTGACCCAGGTGAACCCCTGGCCTTCACTCATTGCTGTGTGGCCATGGGCACGCCCAGGGCTCCTTGCCTACCATTGGGGACCACTGTGCTGTGTGGTCTCACCCAGTGGTTTTCCCCTCCAGAGTTCGGCAAAGAACAAGTTGGCTACCTCCTGCTCACCAAGGATCCCACGACCTTCATGCTTGCCTTCTCCCCGAAAGACGAGCAGAACATGGGGCTGTCCTTCTACAGTAGGCATCCCTCAAACTTCTTCTACCTCGCCCAGGACCCCTTCCCCTGCGGCCGGGCCCCCAGCTCCCCCACCCTCCCTGGCTTCCCAGCTAGGACCCCAGCATGCTCACCCAACGTCTCCTCGCTCCCTCCTGCAGCTGACAAGCCACAAGCGACCCAGGAGCAAATGAGAGAGTTCCACGAAGCCATCATGTGCATGGGCATGCAGAAGTCAGAAATCATGTACTCCGATGAGAAACAGGTGAAGGCAGGGAGGACTGGGCCGAGCCCACCCTCCGGGTGACTCTGCCTTGGGCAGCCCCAGAGGCCCAGGGGGGCGAGCTGCCGGCCCAGGCTGTGCAGTGAGATAGGACATCCTACTTTTAAGTACCTGCCTCACTGCAGGGACAGCTGAGTTTCCTGCAAGCCCACGGGATGAGGAACCAGGAAGGAAAAGTCACTGTGAAACAGGGAGGGCATCCAGAGCGGGCCGGGGGCGGGGGGGGGGGGGGGGCTTGGGGGGGGCGGGGCTTGGAAAGGAGGGGAACAGTAGACACAAGTGTGGCCATGGGAACGTGACAAAGAAACACACAAGGGTAACGATCGTTGACAACTACCGGCCACACCCCAGACTTCCAATACCTGTGGCTGGGGAGTGGGTATGGTGGTTTTCAGCACCACCCAAATGGCCCCAAGCCCAGGACTACATCCTGACTTTTGCTGTAACTGAGAAGTACGTATAAAATCATCTTAATGCTCTCCATTCGACCTGTGCCCAATGAGAGGCTTTACATGGTCTTGTCCTGGGCAGTAACATCTGAAATCACAGAGCTGATGAGCTGGTGACACTTTTTGGGGGGATATACATGAAATACTTTCAGCATTATTGAAATAAAAATGTCTCTGCCGCCTGAGGTCATCCCTCGTGACCACCCCTAGACCGCCTCCCCTCCCGGCTCCTGGGAGCTGCGGGAAAGGACTGGGCTCGCAGCCCTGCTCCCCGCTTGCCCCCGCCCCATCTGCTGGCTGGGGACCTTGGACAGGCCACACGGCCACCCTGAACCTCGCTTACATCACCTACCCAATGGTTGTGAGGAATCCAGATCAACATAAAGGCTCGGCAAGTCCTCAGTAAATGGCAGTTGTTCTAAGGGCTCGAGCCCCCCTTCTGAGGTGAAGCTGAGCCTCAGAGAGGAAAAATGCCTTGCCCAAGGTCACCCAGGTAGGAGGCGGCAGGGCCTAAGCTGGAGCTCATTCCACCCTTCCCCCCCCCCCCCCCCGCAAGAGCCCTGCCCTGCCCCCATCACTGCGCTCCCCCTGTCTTCCAGGATGTGTGTGGGCCATTGGAGAAAGAGCACCAGGAAGAAAAGCCGAAGGAAAATGAGGGCTCCTAGGAGGACACAGCTTGGGTTAAGAGCTTGGGGACTCTGGGACCCATTCTCAGCCCTACACCCACCCTTTGTACCTCCGGTCTTTGTCTCAGTGGCATCAATAAAGCTTCTGCATTGGAAGCAGGCAGGGTGTCATTCGCTCATCCATTCATTCGGTCACTCATTCACACACGTTGAAGCCTGCCCTGGGCTGAGCCCCGGCTGATCACTGGGTAAGCCCCTGTCCCTCTACTCAGAAGAGCTCCTGCTGTAATACCCGGCACAGGTTGGATGATGACAGGCACCAAATGCTGTGGGAGCCCAGCATGGGGGGAGGTGCCTCCTGCGGTGGAAATCTGAGAAGGCTTCCTGGAAGGGGCATCCGAACCAGTCTAGAAAGATTTACGAACAGCAGCTTGTAACACCTGCTGTTCCAGCTATAAGCCAAGGATCTGAGAGGACGAGTCTGAGAAGCATCGAAGTGGGAGGCCCTGGTAGCTCAGGTGAATGGGGGCAGTGAGGACTCCGGCGTGTGGTACCGAGCACAAAGGACCTCACCTTAGACGTTACCCTGGCCATCTGGGGAGGCGAGTTGGGAGGGGCCCGACTGGAGGCAGAAAGACTCTGGCAGAGGCTGCTGTGAGCATCCTGGCAAGAGGAGGGTACCTGGGCGGGGGACAGGACGGGGAGACGCAGAGGCCTTGGGGCCTAGGCCAGAGCAGCTGTCTCCACGAAGTGCCCTCACAGTGCCCACCTGACGCCCACAGGATATAACGAGGGGGGGGGAGGTTGGCCCCTGGAAAGCAGCCAACTTGCAAACATGTTCGGAGCCCTCGAGATGGGGCCACGTCCGAGGCAGGCCCTCTCCATGGCACAGAAATACTGAGCACCTAAAGCCAGGAGTCCAGCAAGGAAGGCCAGCTCCTTCCAGACCTGATGGCTTGTGATTTATGGTCATGAGAGGGAAGCAGCACCAATTGGTGGCAGAAGACTTGGGGCCACATCGTTCAGGCAATTCCAGGAGCGAGCGGCCAAAGCCATCTAGAGCAACAGAGTCATAGCCCCGGCACCTGACGCCCGGCCCTGTGGCACCTGTGACACCACCTTCCCAAGAGCCACGCTGCACCCCGGGCACTGAGGCTGGGGACACCGCCCTGCGCCCCCACCTGTGCCCTTGGCTCCCCGTTCCCGTCTTTGTATCCCAGAGCAGCCTCTTGGCATCCAGGACAGGGTAGGCTCAGAGGCTCAGAACCTACAGGAAATCTTCCCTTCTCGGCTGCCATTTTCAAGTGCACTGAGAAGGGTCAGCTGAAAAATGAAGTAGAAACGGGGCCTGGTGGGCAGGGAGGAGCGTGTGGAAAGTGAGGGGGGCTGACGAGAAAGCCACGGGAAGACGTAGCAGGCGTTGGGGAGAAAATCTCATGGAGGTTAGGAAGAAAAGAATAGTAAAGAAAACGGATTTTAGAGCCAGACATTGCGAGGCTGGGCAGATAGCCCGCCGGGACCTCAGTGTCTCATCAACGGAGGAGGCACATAGTGGGGGTGGTGTGTGAACCGTGAGTGCCCCGTGCTGAATATTTAGCTCAAGCATCGGTATCTTGGGGTGCCTGGGCGGCTCAATCGGTCAAGCTTCTGGCTTCGGCTCAGGTCGTGATCTCATAGTTCGTGGGTTCAAGCCCCACGTCAGGCTCTGTGCTGACAGCTCAGAGCCTGGAGCCTGCTTCACATTCTGTGTCTTCCTTGCTCCCTGCCCCTCCCCCACTCGTACTCTGTCTCTCAAAAATAAATAAACATTAAAAAAAAAAAAAAAGAATTGGCATCTAGCGCGCTCAGTATATGGTGGCTGATGTTGCTGTTTGCTATTAAAAGGAGCACTGGAAGGAGAGTCTAGCCTTGTGCTTTAGGCACCAGCTGTGTGTCTCTGAAAGGGCTTGGCCAGACAGCCTCTCCAGTCAGAAGGGTGAGTCCAGAGACAGGCACAGGGAGAAGGTATGGAGAAACAGCAGCCACCAGAGGAAGGTGGGCAGAGTCTGGAAAACTGCACCCAACAAGCCCCCTGGGGAAGGGCTCCGCTTGTCATCAAATCCCCCACCCACAGAATTGGGGTTAAGAAGCCACAAGTTGACGACACACACCACAGATGTGGGCAGCTTCGGGAATGTTTTTTTTTTCCTTTTTTTTTTTTTTTTTTTTTTTCAAAGATCAATATTCATCCTTCTTCATTTGCCCAAATAACGAAAATAGATTTTTAAATGCCTCAAATATACAAATATCACTGATGCATACACATTCCAGAAAAGCTGAGGTACGCACTCTGCTACAAGGTAGGGAGCCAGAGACGGGCTGGCCTCCCGGCCGCAGACCAGGGCCTGGCAGGCAGCTTGGCCACTAGCCCAGTTCCACAGGGATCCCAGGGACAGAGCTGGGGCTCAGGGGATGAGGTACAGAGAGGGACCAAGGTGGACAGCTTCTAGGCCCTCCCTGGGGGTGTCCCCTTCCCAGCAGGCCCACGGGAAAGTCCTCTCCGGAGAAGCTGGACACATGTTATCCTGGGGGCCTGCCGTCTTGACGTTTCGATGGTGTCAAAGTGCCCTACTGATCCCCAGTCACCAGGAGGAAAGTGCACAGCCGTGTCCTTCCCAGAAACGCCTACGCTGGAGGGGCTGGTCACCGGTGAGGAGACAGGTTTGCACCAGAGACTCTGGCCCTATCCCTTCTCATCTGGCCTGGTAGGTTGGATCTAAGACCAGGAAAACACAGTAAAAAAAAAAAAAAAAAATTGTCCATCTGTATATAAAGTACATATTATTAGCCAGAGGCGGGCAGTGCAGGACCAGGAGACTCCCCGAGGCTGCCCCTCGGGAAGTGGCCTCGGCAGAAGGTGGCCTCGGTCTCAGCACTTCCTTCAGGGGCCGGTCCCCCCGCAGTTCCTTCTCTTCATGCCCAGGCCAACACCCCAGGGCCAGGAGGCCTCTGGGGAGGGGTCGCCGGGGCCCGCGGGAGTGGCTCCAGCCGACTCCCGCCCTGGGGGACAGCAGCAGGCCGCCGGCCCACCTGCCCCCCATCTGTGTCTGAGTCTCCAGAGTGAAGTCAGAAGAGGCAGGAGCCCCTGAGGCTGCGGGCCTGGCGCAGGTCGGCTGACAGGGAGCGGCTCATGTGCTTGGTGGTGCAGCGGATGCTCTCAGCAGCCTGGACGGCTCGATTCAGGGCCTTGTTGAGCTCCTCCAGGTCCTCCAGGTCCAGCTGGATGGAGTGCCGGTGCCCCCGCGCCGGCCGGGAGGAGGCAGAGGGGGGCCACTCGGCGGCGGCTGGCTGGGGCGAGGAAGCTGAGGTAGGTCCCGGAGGCGCGTAGTACCTGAGGAGAGAGGGCCCGGCGTTCGTTAACCACGGACAGGGCCGGGCAGAGCACCGGGTTCGGAGTCAACCCCATGCCAGGCCCTCCAGCTGAGCCCACGGCCCCTGCTCTCTGGGTCTCAGTCTTCACCTCTCAAATGGGAATAATAAACACCTACTTTGAGGGATGAAGGATGATAAACGGGAGTGCCCGACCTGGAACAGCGTCTCGAAAATGGTTGGTTCAGGGGGCGCCCGGGTGGCTCAGCCGGTTAAGCGTCCCAACTTCGGCTCAAGTCATGACCTCACAGTTTGTGAGTTCGAGACACATGTCGGGCTCACTGCTGTCAGCACAGAGCTCGCTTCGGATCCTGTCTCCCTCTCTCTCTGTCCCTCCCCCACTCAATCTCTCTCTCTCTCTCTCAGAAAGAAATGAATACTTAAAAAAAATGGTGCAGGGGTGCCTGGGCGGCTCAGTCAGTTAAGCAACCAACCGACTCTCGATCTCAGCTCAGGTCTCGACCTCCCAGTCGTGGGATGGAGCCTGACATCGGGCTCTGTGCTGACAGCGTGGAGCCTGCTTGGGATTCTCTCTCCCTCTCTCTCTACCCCTCCCCCACTCACACTCGCTCTCTCTCTTGCTCTCTCTCAAAATAAACTTAAAAAAAAATGGTTAGTTCGATCTACCTATTCACTTCATATTTATTGATCTTACAGTATGTGCCAGCCCTGCGGTTACACTGGTGAATGAGTAACATGGACCCCACTGCCTTCTTGGGGCTTCTCATCTCAGAGCCAGATCCCGGGGAGACTAGGATCACCCGCAGGCTCTGTAGCAAACCCCCTTCATCAGAGAGGTGACGTGTGTTCCCATTTGCCAAGCGTGGAGCAGCAGACACACGTGATAATAATTAGGGTTCTGTAGGAGGCGGAGGGTCTTGTTCCACTCATCCAGGGAGCAGGTGGAAACGTGTCCTTCCCAGCCTGGCCCTGCAGGAACGTGGGGCGTTGTGTAAAGTGCTGGGAGCCATGTGATGGAGCACAGATTTCTCCAGGTAGTGAGCGCAGCACGCAGCCAGGCTCCCCAGTCCGGCGACGGGCGGGAAGAGGGGGTGGCCCTTGTGTTGTGGAATCAAGCGTGTGGAGGAGACAGGGAGACAGAGAAAGGTTTTGCCCAAATGCAGCAGGGATAAGTAGAGGAGGAGTTGGCCAGAGTCTGTCACTGGCATCTTGCTTGACACACTGTAAACTCTGGCCTCCTTCCTGACTTTCCACTTCTTCGGACCCACGTTATCGTACAGCGTTCAGGAGAAAAGGGCTCTGCTAGGACCGGAACACATATCTCTCCGAAGAAGACACACAGATGCACAATAAGCACACGAAAAGATGCTCAGCGTCATTAGCCACCAGGGAAACGCAAATAAAAACCATGTGAGATGCCACGTCAGGCGGTTGGCCACCACCGGATGACTCAAGTCAAAAGGACAGATGGTGGCCAGGAGGCGGAGAAATCAGAAGCCTCATAAGCTGCTGATGGGGACGTAAAATGGCACCACCACTTTGGAAAACCGTCTGGTGGCACCTAGCCCCGAGCTGGCATTGCATGCTGGGTACCGTGTGCCGGGCTCGGAGATACACGTTTTCTTGACCAGCACGTATCTTACTTGTTCGGTGGGTACCGCTATGCTTATGTTACAGACGAGCAAAGAGAAGTTCAGAGAAGCTAGGTGAGGCAGGAAGCCTGCCCCCAAATCCCAGCCATTCCATGTGGATTCCCCTTTCAGGGGCTCTGTTCCCCCACCTAAAAGAGCCACCTTTAGCTACCTGCTGGGAGAGATCTGATAAGAAAATTCAGGTCGAAAGCTCTGGACGCTGCCTGGCCACTCTGCTTCTGTACACATCAGCTCAGAGTCAGAGCGCTGGAAGGGGCGGTGCTGGACTCACACCCAGAGCTAATTAGCACCCAGTAGATGCCAGTACATATCATCTGAACCGAACCAATAGGCTTCTTGAATCCAATTCCTTCCCCCAGGGACTATCAGGTGTAATTACTGGGTTTACACACACCCCTACCGTTTAATAATTTGATGACCAGCTAGCTTGGCCTGAAAGTCACATCCCAAACACCCTCTAAGGCAGAAGCTGCAACTGTCCCCCACCTTTGTTTTGGCCCAAAGCAAAACCAAAAAACCTTCCTGGCTAGAAAGCCTTTGGCGCACGGCTATAAGGCACTCAGCCAGCAGGTGGCAGCACAGCCCCATAAACTTTCTAAAGGGCACCCTGTCATTGAGCATGCTCAGCCCTGCTGATGGCAGATGGAGAAACTTGAGGGCATCATCAGCCCAAACTCTAGCAGCATTTGAAATGCTATGCTTCCTGGCCAACTTCTATGTATTGTGGGCTTTCCGTGTATTAGTTCATGTAATCCTTACCACAACCCATTTCACAGAGGAAAGAACTGAGGCACAGAGGAGCAAAGTGACCCAGCTAAGGTTGTAGGCTACCGCCGGCCAGGTCTGTCGGGCACTACAGCTCAGGGCTCTTCTCCTTCCCTATGACCTGTCCAGGCCTGGACACAGCCACCTGGTTAGGTCTGCCCACAGGTCTGAGTCTGGAAGGATATGGGACAGCCTCCGAAGCGGAGAGGCACCCAGAGTTTCATCCTGGGCCAGCCGATTCCAGGCGAAACCTCTCCTGCCCAGTGAGTCGGGGCATAGGCAGGCATCTCCTGCTGCAGGCCTGAGCATGCAGCATGGCCTCGACGGAGCAGAATACTCCTGGAGTCGGCTGAGGGCGGCAAGAAAGCATCGCATAGGCCAGAGTCCTTATGGGGACGGGGGCTGGGCGGCACCCTACACCTCTGCTCCCGCCGAGCTCCAGCCCCCACAGCGACCCCGGCCTCTTGCTGCGCACGACACAGGATGCTGATGGCGTGCCACTGAAGGAGGCTCCCGCACGACTCGTTTTATATGGAGGGGCACTGAGGCACGGAACTAGCCAGTGACAGGACAAGAAGACAAGTCTCCTAATTTCAGCGCCCAGGGTTTTTCTCCCCCTGCACAATCCTGTCCTGTGGCAGCCACCTTTATGTATCTTTCTTCTTTGCCAACGACTGTGCCGTGCAGTGGCACTCCCCACGGTGACGACAACGCTGCCCCCCACAACAAATTCCACAAACGTCTCACGTGCGTCTGGCCACGTGCCTCACTTCACCCTCACACAACCAACTGTACGTGGTCGAGACTACTACCCCATTTAACAGATGGGAAAATGGAGGCTCAGAGAGGAAGTAGCTTTACCAAGGCCACGGCGCCAGTAGGTGGCTGATGGAGATCTAGCAGAGCTTGGACTCTAAACGTGGAACCACTTCTGCCTCAACTGGCGTGTATTTTCTCTCTCGGCAGAGGCCATATCCAAATAGAAACAAGGCAAGTCTGAGAAACGAGCACAGCCAAGAGCCAAGAGGGGCCTAAGGACACATGACGACTGAGTGTATGTGGCATTCTGGACGGGATCCCAGGCCAGAAAAAGACCTTCAGGTAAACACTGAAGAAACCCATGGGGCACTTGGGTGGCTCAGTCAACTGAGTGACTGACTTTGGCCCAGATCATGGTCTCATGGTTCATGAGTTTGAGCCTCACATCGGGCTTGTTGCTGTCAGCATGGAACCCGCTTTAGATCCTCTGTCCCCCTCTGCCCCTTCCCCACCTGCGCTCCCTCTCAAACATAAAAATAAACCTATAAAAAAACTGAAGACACCCAAATAATCTATGGGCTTCAGTTAATAATAACGTATTCATATTGGTTCACTAACTGTGCAAAAGTATCACGTTCAAGTAAGATGTTAGTGACAGGGGAAACTGTGTGTGTGTGTGTGTGTGTGTGTGTGTGTGTGTGCGTGTGCATGTGTGTGGGGCGGTTATATGAGAACTCTCTTTACTGTCTGCTCCATTTCTCTCTGCATCTAAAACTGTTCTGAAAAGCAAAGCATGGGGCACCTGGGTGGCTCAGGCGGTTGAACATCCAACTCTGAATTTTGGCTTGGGTCCTGATCTCCCAATTTGCGAGTTCGAGCCCCGCAATTCTCTCTCTCTCCTTCTCTCTCTGCTCCTCCCTGAAGCCCCCTCAAAATGAGTAAATAAACCTAAAAAAATAATAAAGGCTATTGACAAGCAGTAGGTGTGCATTACTTACTTGCTGGAAAGACCCACAGGAAATGGGGAAGGGTTAGGGTTCTAGAGCTAGACTCCCATGAGCTTTCCCTGTGAGCTCCTAGGGGGCAGGGCCCTCTGTCAGGCTCCACTGCTGGGCACCCCGTCCCCGCCCAGGCCAAGCACTCTCCCTGGTGTGCAGGGTTTGTTGAGTGACTGCACGAGTGTTCTGCTTGTTTTGCACGTTACACACTGGGGCGAAACACAGGAGCGAGCGACGCCCGGGTTCTCAGCAGCCGGAGACAGACGTGAACGCGAATTGGGAAGCGAGTCAAACAGAGGCTGGGAAGGTGGGAAAGGGAGGTTCTTACACAGCGGCCGACGGGTAAGGCACGATGGGCACCGAGGAGACGTAGGCAAAGGCGGGAGGGGCCGGTGCTGGGGGCACGGCAGGCAGATACCACAGTCCCGGGAGCGGCCGGGCCGGCGACCCTGCCTGCTTGCTGCGTCGTGGGGGGCTGGAGGCTGAGCGTGAGTGTGCATTCCTCCTTGGGGCGGCGCTTTCTGTCCCTGCAAGGGGGGGGGGGTGCGCCAGAGAGGTCAGTCTTATTGCCTGGGAAGCTCTAGAACAGGCAGAACAGGGGGCCACCCACCTCTGCCCTGTCAGAGCTGGACACTGGGCTGGCCATGCTGGCAGTGCCTCGCTTCAGGAAACAAATCCTCTGCCTGGTTTGCTCTGCCCCAGACTGGGAGAGCAGCCGCCCGAGCTAAACACCCCCTGGGGCCCCCGAACTCCCAAAAAGGAGAGCTGGGTGTCTGGCTGGGAGAAGAGAATGAGCGTCTGTCCCTACCAGAGGTGGCTGAGTCTGGGCCATCCGTCTTTGGGGGCGTCCCGACTTGACCACACAGGGGACATCGCAGGGTATCAGTGGGAACCGGTCCCAGTGGGTCCCTGGTGACAGTACCACCTACAAGAGGAGGAAGAGGGGTCAGGAGAGGATTACGTCTGGATCAACGGGCCTGGAGCCCCCAAGCAGACCTCCGCCAACAAGCCATCGCTCCCCCATTTTACAGACTGGAAAACTGAGGCTCCAAAAGGTTGAATGATATGCCAAAGTGTCAGAGTAGGAAATCGGCGGTGCTCTGTCTGAGCCCAAGCCCGGGCTCTCCCGAATGCAGCCCCTGAGCCTATATTCATTCCTCCACACTGAGGCCCATTCTCCATGTGGGAATGGCCCACGATGGCCCCTCAGGCACCAGGGGGTCAGTAGAGGCCTAAGGGAGCAGGAGAGGAGTGGACAACCTGGTCCTCTTCCCACGCACATCCTCAACACCTCACCTGGAAGTCCTCTCACCCCCCTGGCTGAGTTATAGGCTCCCCAGCCCCACCCTGTGCTCAGATCACTGTTTCGTCATTGCTTAGCTGCGAGCTCCTTGGGGACAGGGCCCAGGGCCCAGTATGGGCAGGTGCTGAATGAATGAATGAATGAATGAACAAATAGAGATGGCTGTTGAGACTTGAGCAAAGGCAAAGAAACATAATGGTGAAGAGCCAGGGTTCTGGAGCCACAAAGTCCTGGGTGCAAATCCTGGCTCTACCACTAGTGAGCTGTGTGCTCTTGGGCAAGTTATTTAACCTCTATGAGCCTCAGTTTCCTCACCTGTAAAATAGGCGTAATAATAAAATGGGCAAAACCCATTTCATAGGGTTGTGAAGATTCATGTTTGTAAAACCCTTAGCATGATGCGCTGTTTATAGTGGGGGCTTAATCAATGACAGCTCCGTTGTTATCATCATCATTGCTTGAAAGGGCTTTAGGGACCATCCCCAATCCTTTCATTACGGTTGTCAAGTCTGAGGCTCAGAGAAGTCAAGGAACTTGCCTAAGATCACACAGCAAGTCAGTAGCAAAACTGGGACTAGAACCCAGTATCCATATTCTCTGGCCACTGCTGTCCCCATGACTCTTCCCTGTTGGGTGTGGTGGAAGGAGGCAGAGGGGAAGGCAGATGGAGGGGAGACGGGACATAATCATCACCACCTGGCCCCACCCCTCTTATCAGGAACTTAAGCCATGCCCAACGTTAACCCATGTCATAGTCAAGGATGGCTTCAGGCAGCAGTACCTGGCGCAATAGGTGTGAAAGCAGGACCCCCTGGGAGGGCTGAGAAGTGCCCCCAAACCCTCCCTTGTCGTACCTTGACCCGCCACTGAGCTCAGGCAGGCCCACGTCCTGCACCCTCTCCTACAGGGACAAGCCGCAGCCTCTGTGCACTGACCACCTCTCCAGGTACCACCCCTCACCTGAGTCCTGGGTCCTAGCAGGTCGGCAGTGGGGACAGGAGATTGTGCCACCGCCTCTTGGGACAGTCTTGGGGGTGGGAACGTGGTACTCCTGGCCTAGGGAAGAAACCAGACAGCCAGCTCTTTGCATGTTTGGAGAACTGGGGAGGATTGGGGACTACCTGTCTCCTCTTGCTGACATCCAGAAGCAATCAACAAACCCAAGCTCATTTAGACCGGCAGGCAGGCCGCCAGGAAGCAATGATGAGCAATGACAAAGACACTACTCCCCCAGATCCCCGCTTGCTGGGTGGGACTGGAATGGCCTGGGCATAGGGTCGGCTGTGTTCTCCCCGTGCTCCGAGAGGCTGTGAGATGGGGACAGTCACACACGGACTTCATAGGTTTATTGGAAGGACTGAGTGGGGCCGTGTCCATGAGGTGCCCTGCCGGCACCTGGCAGGTGTAACGTGTTCAAGGTTATCAGGAAGGTGGACAGATGCTCGGGTCTTCACCTAGACCTGTCCTCTCCCGCTTTGTCCTTCCCGGAGTCTCAAATGGGACGTTAAGAATGTTGCCTGACTGCTTATCTTTTTTCTCCCCTGTGCCACGCAGGGGTTCCACTTCCCATTCTGTGTGTGTTGCCTGGGGCCGCGCCCCCACCCCTCCACGGACCGGCGGCCACTCCCACGTCTGACTGCTCGGCTCTATCTGCTCCATTGGGGTAGACACGCATCTCTCATTTCTCGCCTCGTCTCCTGCACTCAGCCATACGGATCCGAGGTTAACTGCCCTCCCTCCCAGGGTGGTAGGGATGAGAGCCACGTCTATAACTTACTTAGTATAATTTACACGCTTACTATAACTGCTTGTTACTGTCTGCTATGCGGTCGGATTCATGAAAGTTGGAGCCACATCCGCATCTGTTTTAATGCGAAGCACCCTGAAATCCTACTATGTGTCATCTGAAGGCCTACTGTGTGCTGGGTGCCTAGTTCACGGGACCCTGCGGCACCCTGGAGGATCAGAGCTGAGGGTAGGCCAAGGGTAACGGATTTGGCACCCACTCTGCAAACAGCGGGTGTTTCATAAACCTCTTTATGACTGACCGGCTAACGGACCTTCCCCAGAACCAAGCGTGGGCTCTCACGCAGGGGAGGCATCAGAAACTGCTGGATGAACGAACGAACACGCCAAGGTTCAGAGAGGCGGTACGCCCTGGTGCCTCCCGTATCACGGAATTCGCCGAAAATGACGTCAACAGCCCATGGTGAAATGGGGAAGGCATCATGACAGAGCAGTCCTCCCTGGGGGCTGGGCCACCCCCTGGCCCACCTGTGTACTGGCCCCGGAAGGTGACCCTGTCTGGCCTCTTGGTGCCGCCCGCTCTTTTCATTCCATCCCGAGCTGCCTGCGCACTGTCCTCAGAGGTCCGGCTCTTCTCAGAGAACAGCTGGGGGGAGGTGGGCTCGGATCCGGAACCTGAGGTGGAAAAAGAGGAGCATCAAAGGGGGTGGGGGGCCCACATGGCTCAGGGAGTGGGCGGATGAGAAGTTCAGGCTCTGGGGCAGAGCGTGGGTTTTAATCCTTGGTAATATCAGCCGACACACGTGGGTGGAAACCTGACCTCATGCTAAGCGCTGGTCTAGACCGGCCGCGTCCGCGGTACGCGCACCCTCGCGGCCATCCCAGGAGGCCGGTCCTATTATTGCTGCACAATTAGCTGTCCCTCTAACCACACAGAGCAGGTAAACAACCTGGCCAAGGTCACCTGGCTGGGAAGGGGTGAGGTGGGCTGAACCCTTCTCCTCCTCCTCCAGGCGATTCTCCTGCACTTTCGGGCTTTGGTGTCTATACCTGCGGAGTGTGGGTAAATGTGACCCACCTTGCGGTGAAGACTGACGTCAGATACACACGACGCCCTGACAGAAACCCTGGCATGTCGTAGGCGTGTGACATACAGTGGCCGACACTGGAAGCGGTTTTCAGGGCCCTGCCGCGCCAAAATGGACGCACAAAACCTCCTCCAAGTTTCCTCCCAGGCTGTGGCGCTGGTCCCTGGCCACTGAGCTAACCCGCCCAGAAATCTGCAGGCTCCCGCAGTCAGGGCGGGCAGGTGGTCACTTACTCAGGGACAGCTGGGGCACCTCCCGAGGCACCGAGGAAGACCTGGCTCGCCGCCTTCCTGCGGGGTCAGCTTGCTCTGCACCTGCAGGCTCACCAGACAGTCTCTCTGTGGATTTGCTAGCAAAGAGGAGAGACAGATGATGTCACTAGAGGAGGTTTGATGCAGCCCTTAAAGATGGTCAGCAAGAAAGCCAACCCAGGGAAAGGCTTATAGCAGAGGAGGAAAGCAGGAAAGTCAAAACCAAAGACTCTGGGAGTCAGACCCCCAGAAAGCGGCTCTGAGCCTCTCTGACCCTCAGTTTCCCCATCTGTCAAGTGGGGATAATGACAGCAATTACCTCAGAGGGTTATGGGAAGGATTAGTGAGACGATGTCCGTAAAAACCTGAACCTCGGTGCCCTCCCATAGAAACACTTGGAAACACCCAGCTGATTTTAGAAGTCATCTTCAGTGAATCGCTAAGGGGTGAGCGGGCGGACATCCTGGAAATATTTAGCTCTTCACTTGGGTGATGAGTTCAGGTTATGCAGTAGATATTATTTTATGCATCAAATGTTACATAGGAAAAAGGTGTAAGAGTCGGAGAGGGGTGTGAGTTCACATGTCTGGAGAGACCCAGGGGCAGCCAAGTCTGCCACGCCACCGGGGCACAAGGGCAGGCGTTTTGGGGTCACCCACCTGCCATAGTGGGAGCCCCAGGCGGCTGAGGAATCCGTTGGCCGGGCCCGGGCCCGGGCGGGGCGGTTGAAGGTGGAGGCCGGGCACACCAGGCTGCCCTGGGGTGGCTGATGCAGGCTGTCCTCCAGCCGCAGGCGGAGCAGAGACACCTCCTCTTGTAGCTCTCGGATGGCCTGGCTGGGGTGGGGGGAGGGGACAGAAACAAAGAGCGGATGTGCAAGGTGCGGAGCCCCAGCCACCCGCACGCACAGCGCCGCCTGGATGCCCAGGTCTCGTCCCTTTGCGCCAGGCACGGGCCCAACTCTGCTGCCCGCGGATTCTGGAACTTCCTTGTGTGTCCACTTTTCTTGCTGCCCATCTCGACACCTCTGAGCTCGTGCCCCTGCACGTTGGGTGCGCAAAGCACAACTTCGAGGGTTATCTTGCCTAACAGGCAGGGTCTCTGAGTGACTGTTCTGAACACCAGGGACTCACTGTCAAGGTGGAGTGGAAGATGCAGAATAAAAAGGGCACAAGCTGAAGGTCCACTTTAGAATCTGAATTCTGACCCCCTTGGGCTGTCCCCCCCTTCTTCTACCTCTGTCTCTAGAAATGGTAAACTGACAGTCCAGGTCTGGTTTCTTCCCCTCCCTTATTATTCAGCCCATCCTTCCTGGCTCCCCCTAAACATTTTCTACGTGGTCCAAGCCCTGTCTGTCTGCGGTAGCAGAAGATGCTTGTCTGTCTGTCTCCCCAACCAGACAGTGGCCAGGCCTCCCCCCCTCACAATCCCTGAGAACCTCACACCTCATAGATGCTCACGGAATGTTCCTGAACTGGACTCAAGGCCCCAAGAGGGGGCAGAGTGAAGGTGTGCGCGAGCAGAGAGGACAAGGGGACATCACAGTGCTTCCTATCACCGCCTATGAGCAGGCTCCAAGGGCAGGGCCCTATCTGCAAGGCTGCTTGTCATCCCTGGGGAGCCCCCAAATACAGCCCAGCCTCTTACAGGCGAGGTATCTCAATGAGCCCCCAGCTTCTATGGAGTAAGTCCTGTCTGCATTGCTCTCCAACCAGCCCCTGAATGTCCAGAGTCTCATTCTGAAGCATCACGGCATCGTGTCGCTGGCATTACAGCAACGATCCTCCCCCACAACCCCGACAACCCCATACATGAACCCCCTACACACGGGGCGTCAGAGTCTGGGCTCGGCATGGCCCAGGCTGGTGCAGGCTCTTCATCTACTCCTGGGCGGGGCTCCCCTCAGGGTGACTTCTCGCTTGGTGGCCCGGACTTGTGGGTGAGTGTCTCCAGATGCCACATCCAGCTCTCAGAGTGTGCCAGAGGGAGCGGAGACCTCTCTGGTTACGCCCCGGCACCGTGTGCGTCCAGGGCAGCCGGGTCTCCTGGCAACCCCCCCGGGAGACGTTTGTTAGGGTCTCCAAGGCAAAGCGTGAGCATACTATTAGCAGGACGGCGGGAGCTCGTGTCACCAGTTAACCCCCGCGTGCACAACTGGGAGGCAACACCGCCTCCGTGTCCCAGGCCGAAGGCGGCCGAGTGAGGGCCTGAGACTTGGAAAACCCACTTGGGTGTCTCTTGTCCTCTCTGCTTCCATCAGGATCTCAGTCTTCCTGACTTAAGTTTTTAGTGGCTGAGGGCCAGCTGGCACTCAAAAAGCCCATCTTTTCCCGCAAACGTTTCCCCTCCCGAGTTCCCCATCTCTGTATCAGCGTCCAACTGGCTGGCCGGCCAGAAGTCTGAGTCATTCGAGACCCTTCTCCCTCCCTGAACACCCCCCAAAAGTTAACCAGCTCCCGGGTCCTGTGGGCCCAATGCCCAGACCCAGGTCCTGTGAGTCTCTTGTCCAATGTACCCCCCTTCCCTCCGACTGGCCCCATCCTGTCTGTCCTGGGTGAGGCAGCCCTCCTGGCAATCTTCCCGCCTCGCCTTGTTCTCACCCTGCTAGTGGCCAGAGAGCTCTTTCTAAAATGTGAACCCGACCTCAGCTGTGTCTGTATGCATTCGCGAATCTTCAGTGAATCATTTCTCTGAGCAGAGCCAGCATCCAGATGTCTAACTATGGTGTTCAAGGCCCTCCAAGACCTCGAACCCTGTGTCTCCTGGTCTACCTCTCCACTGCTCAACCCCACCGCCACATTCACACCTCGGGATCCAGCTGAAACGAACCTTTGGCCCTGCAAAGGTGACGGGAGCTCTCTCACCTCCAGGCCTTTGCACCTGCTGTTTCCCCTGCTGGGAACACTGTTCCGTCTCTCTTCCTTCAGGTCTCAGCTGAGATACCACTTCCTCCCAGAAGCCCTCCCTGAAGCTTCTCACTGGGCCAGATGTCCCTTCTCTGTGTTCCCACAGTCCTTGGAGCCTCTGCCACCACTGTACTCCTACTGGGGAGTGTGACCATCGGCTTCTTCATTCATCCTACAAGACGGTGAGCCTAACCAGGCCAAGGACGGTCTTGTCCGCTATTGTGTTACCAGGACCTCACATATCATCGACAAGTAAGCCTGGAATTCCTATGCTGGTGTCACCGGAGACAGCAGGAGTACACACACTGAGTCAGGCCTGGAAGCTGAGTACCAGCCCCGGACCCGCCTTTGCACATAGCGACAGTCCCGTGATGGCACAGGCCAGGAGGCCCCTGATGCATTCCTGCAAAGCAGCCTTCCCTGTGCACGTGGGGACAGACACCCCAACCCGACAAAGGCATGTGATTGATTACTGGCCAAAAGCAACTCAAAGGAGAGGGAAGAGGGCTCACGGGCTACTTTCCCATTTCTGTTCAACCAAGCAAGGAACAACTTTCTCAGCAGAGCAACTGTTCATTGAACAATTGTATGAACAGAGCAACTGTTCATACAATGAAAGCATCCACTGCTGAAAATATATCCCTGGGAAGCGCAGACCTGTCTTGGGAGAGAAATGCTGGGGGGTGGGGAGTGAGGTCTCAGCACCAAAAAGGTGAGCCTCCCGGTCGTTGCCCACTGGCTGGACAGGTGTCCTCGAAGTCCACATCCGTGAGGCCCCACGGAGTGGCCCTGCGCCCAGAAACAGGCCACCGGGGTCCATCGGGCCCCAGCACAGCCACCACTGGACGCGGTGGCTGAGCTAGCCCCCGCCTCCCTCGGGCGTCGCTCTCCCGTCTCTGTGATGGCCCGACTTACTCTCGCCCTGTCCTGGTGAGGAGGAGGGTGCGGGTGCTCTCTGCCGGTCCATGGGACAGAGTGGCAGCTGCAGAAGCCGAGGTCGGGGGTGGGCGGATTGTCGTGCTACGGGCGAGCTGCTCAGAAATCGGCTGTCGCCCCTCCGACTCTGAGCCAGGCACCGCTAAGGAGGCAGAGAGAGACCAGGGTGAGTTCGCCTGGAGAGGATCCCTGCAGTGCGCATGTCCGGGAGCAGAAGCATACGGGCACAGAGGCAGTGCCAGCTGAGGTCATAACTGAAGTTCTCAAAGAGGTCACTGGCCCACTGACCTCAGAACCAGAAGATGTGGTTCTTGCTGGGAGCTTGGCCGTGCAAAGCTGGGCCTGCAGAGCTGTTCCTACCTAGATTCCACCCGCCGCGGCCCCCCCCATCCACCATTTCAGCACCAGGTCTGAGTCTGCAGGCACCTCCCCCTGTGAAGAGCTCATTGCCCCTTCACATGGACACCACCCCCCCCCCCCCCCCCCCCAGCCTCGGCCATGCATCACCACGTTCTGGGACTGGCTCCAGAGCCCCCCACCTCCCGCTAAGATTATCGTCACGGCTTTGCCTCTGTGCATTTTCCTGGGGAGAGTGTTCAAAACTTTAGCCTTTCAAAGGGATGGGTGGCCACGGGTTAAAAACCACTGACCTGGCCCACACGTTAAAAACAAGGTGCCCCCGAGGGGCGCCTGGGTGGCTCAGTCGGTTAAGCATCCGACTTCGGCTCAGGTCATGATCTCATGGTCTGTGAGTTCGAGCCCCGCGTCGGGCTCTGTGCCGACAGCTCAGAGCCTGGAGCCTGTTTCAGATTCTGGGTCTCCCTCTCTCTCTGCCCCTCCCCTGTTGATGCTCTGTCTCTCTCTGTCTCAAAAATAAATAAACGTTAAAAACAATTAAAAAAAAAAAAAAACAAGGTGCCCTTGGAACCCTACTCAATAATACAGAAAGGAACAGACTGTCAATACAGGGAACAACCCAGACGAATTTCCAGAGATACAGGGAGTGAAGAAGCCAATTCCAAGTGCATACATATGATCCCATTTATAGAATGTTCTTGGAATGACAAAATTGGGGCAATGGCGGCCACCTGAGAGACCATCAGGAGTTCAGAAGGCAGTGGACGTGAGGTGTCCATTAAGGGGCGACATGCCATTAATCTGCACCATGGCTTTGCAGGATGTTCTCATTGGGGGAAACTGGCTGAAGGATACATAGGATCTCCCTGGATTATATATCACTACAACATGTGAATCCATAACTAACTGAACTTTTAATTAAGGTTTAACTTTCCAAGTTTTAAATGATAAGCCTTGGAAAGAGGCAAAGCCAATCTGAGGTGTAGAAGCCAGTGCAGGGGTCACTTTGAGAGGGTGGGAATGACTGGAAGGAGCTTAGGGGAGCGTCTGAGGTCCTGATCGTGCTGAGTTTCTTGGTCTGTGTTCATTTTGTGAAAATTTCATCAATTTACGTTCTTTCCTGTATGTTTATTTCACTGAAAAGTTCACATGCATTTTCTTAAAGGTAAAAAACTGAAATCACAGAATGCATAGACGTGGAAAGTGTTCATGACAGCGCTTGGGGGGGGAAAAGAGTTATGAAGCGCTCACATATAATATGATCCCATTTTTGCTTTAAGTGCACCTGAATAAACACGTACACATTGGTATAGAAAACAATTCACAGGTTTGACGCCAAAATGTAGCAGTGATGGTTCCGGGCATATTTTTTTCTCTCTTCCCTTCTGTCTACCCTATCTGTAGTTGCAAATTTTCCCACAGTGAACCCGCATGATATTTTGTATCCTAAAAGGTAATGTAGGGGCGCCTGGGTGGCTCAGTCGGTTAAGCGTCCGACTTCAGCTCAGGTCATGACCTCACGGTCCGTGAGTTCGAGCCCCGCATTGGGCTCTGTGCTGACAGCTCAGAGCCTGGAGCCTGTTTCGGATTCTGTGTCTCCCTCTCTCTCTGACCCTCCCCCATTCATGCTCTGTCTCTCTCTGTCTCAAAAATAAATAAACAAAAGGGGCGCCTGGGTGGTGCAGTCGGTTAAGCGTCCGACTTCAGCCAGGTCACGATCTCGCGGTCCGTGAGTTCGAGCCCCGCGTCGGGCTCTGGGCTGATGGCTCAGAGCCTGGAGCTGTTTCCGATTCTGTGTCTCCCTCTCTCTCTGCCCCTCCCCTGTTCATGCTCTGTCTCTCTCTGTCCCAAAAATAAATAAACGTTGAAAAAAAAAAATTAAAAAAAAAATAAAAAAAAATAAATAAACAAAAAAAAAAAAGGGTAATGTAACACAAGGTTTTCATTGCTTTGATTTTTCAATAGGTGCCATCCGGCTACTCCCAGGTTCTGGCCAACAGAGATACACCCACTCACCCATCTCGGCCACCAGTGCCCGCTCCCGGCGGAGACTGGGTGCCCTCTGCCGCAGAGGACTGTCCCGGCCGGAGGGTCGCCTCTGGGCTCTGCTCCTGGGTGTGCTGGGCTCCACGGATCTTCTGGGGACTGGAGGACCCCTGGTCTGGGGATGGGAAACTGCATCCCGGGGCTCAGATGCAGTGAAGGGCTGGGCCAATGTTCCTGCAGTGCTGAGGGACCGTGGCGGGAGAGACATGTTGAGATGGCCCGGGCCTCCGAGCCCCTCCACGTTCTAAGCCAATGAGCTCCTGACCTCTGGGACTTGGCACCCGGGGCAGTACGGTGTTTCTGAGGATGTGCCCCCGTTACACGTGCATTTGTGTATCGAGCCGTCCACCTGCCTACCCGCAGGGGCAAAATTATAAGGCTCAATTTAATTTTTAGAAAATATACAGAGAAATGGAATTTCTAATCCTTTCTTCCCATGTAGCCACAGGGAGCCAGGCAGGCCTCCTGGAGGTGGCAGGCGGGGGGGACTGCACCCAGCTTTGGAGGCTGTTGCTCTACATGGTGGCTCATTACTCCACCCCTCCCCGAGTGCCCTCCTCCACCCTTGCTTTGGGGTTCTAGCCCAGTCTCTTCTCAGGGAGTCGCCCTGATTGCCCTTTACCCTTGTCTTCTGTTCCCCTCCCGCCACCCAATCTGTAGATCTTCATTTACCATTTAGTCATTGATTTGCTCAACAGATACTTATTCCCCAGTCTGTCGCTGGTTGGTTGAGTGGGGGATGAGGGGAGGGCTCTGAGAATGCCCAGGTCATCAGCCCCTGTTCTAGGCTCACGGCACTTATTCCCAGGTTACCCCTCTGCACACAAAGCCGATGGGGAAGGCGGGGTCCCGGAGTACCTGATGTGGGAGAACCGGTGCTCTGGCGTTTGGGTGAGGGGCGACACTCTACTGGTTTCTGAGCCCACGAAACCACTGTCTGTCTCGGGGGATGCCATCCAGGGCTCCTGAAAGAGGCAGTGTCCCTTTAAGTCTGAGGAGTGTGCCTAAGGCACACTGGGAAGGTCTTCCCGATCCGGGCCTGGACCTCACATTCCAGAAGCTCACAGGCCTGGAGGCTGGCCCAGCTCCTGGCGGCCAGGCCTGCGGTGTGAGAGTCCTCAGGCACTCGGGACCAGCACCAGGCCAACAGCAGGGACTCTCCATGTCCCGGGAGGACCCTGAACAAGTCCTGCTTCCCTGAGGAGTTGGGGAGGCCCTGGAGACAGACACTGTAGCAGATTTCCGGAGCTGAGGAAGGAGGGGAGGAGAGGGAGAAAGCCATCTCACTGTGGGGATGGGATTCACATTTTCCACATGTCTTCCAGCTTGGGCCTGGAATGCCATGGTCCTGTCGGACGGCAGAAAAGCCCGGGCCCAATGAATCAGGAAGATAAAATTCATCAAATGTGCACACCTCCTCAACACTGGGTCTAATGAAAGGTGCAAAGAACACAAACAGGCGACCCAGGTGCCTGCCCTCAATGAGTTCGTGGTCTAGTGCAGATTGCTTACTACAGGCTCATCAGGACTACAGGTGTGTGTGTGTGTGTGTGTGTGTGTGTGTGTGTGTGTGTCCACATGCATATATATGCATTATTCTAGGGGAGGCTCCATTGCATAAGTCACATTGCCATAGTGATCTGTGACTCCTGCAATAGTTTAAAAATTGCTACTCTAATGTCACAAACAGGCCATGGAATCAAGGACTATCCCCCCATCTGTGCTAAGCAGGCTCAAACAAATACAGACAATGGGCCATAAGCTTTCAGAGGACAAGAGGTCCTGGCAGGGGGGCAGGGGGGCAGGGGTACAGGGAGCTACAGCAGAGAGGCAGCACCAGGCATAAGCCCTGAATGTTGGGGCAGAATTGTGCCTGGTAGCGATTGGGAACAGCAGGCATTCTGGAAGGGTGTGAGCAAAGGCCCGGGGGCAGAAATCCCCAGGAGATCCACGCCCCATGCACAGATGCTTACCTCTAGGTGGGGCCCACCAGCTGGGCGCAGAGACTTCTGTGGAAGGTGCTCAGAGAGGCCGCTTCCCTCTAAGCTGGTCAGACTGCCCTGGTGGGATGCCAAAGGCTTGGTGCCCCGAGGGTGAGGTGGTCTGCTGGGGCCCGGAGGAGGAGCTGCCTCGACTTTGTCCAGGTCCTGGAGGTAGCCATCTCTGGCCACGGATGCATGGAAGCCTGCTGGCTTTACAGACACCATCTGCTCCACAGTCTCCCTGGCAGCGGGGAGGGGCAAAGCAGGTCTGAGCCCTGGCATGGGCTGGGCAGCCCTGTCCTGGGAGCCAAGCAGTCTGGGCGCAAGTTCTGGGGTCAGACACCCCTGGCTGCCCACCCAGTGTTTTGTCACCGTTGAGCTGTGTGGCCTCGGGCAAGATTCCTCCCCTCTCTGAACTTCACTTTTCTCCTATATAAAATGGGGAGGGCCCGCAAAACCTACCCAAAGCACTAGAGCGGAAATAGTGCGGAAACAAACGAGCTATCATTTCCCAGGCGTCAGGAATCTGCACACTGTCTTCCCCATTTCAGCCATTTCATTAACTTCAATCTACTCAAAAGGCTCATGTCATCATTATAAATGGAAGAGCAGTCAGTATTCTGTGTTACAAATAGAAACTAACTTTGGAAATAGACACAAGACCCAAGAACACACTATTGTTACATTCTAGGCAGATCCTCTTGTCTGCTAAAGGCTCTGGGCCTGAGGTCTGCTCGCTTGTTCTTGTTCTTTTTAAAGGACGATCAGGAGAGGCAGTGAAGACATAATGGCACGGGAACTTTCTCCTGGAGGGACTTGGAAGGTCTGAGGCTGAAGAGGACAGTGACGTTATCTCACGCTGCATCTGGCCTGCCAAAAACCATGTCCCGCCCCACCCCAAATCCCTTCCGGTGCTATCCACGGTGTATAGTCCACACTGGGGAGAGACCTGGGTCACAGGCCAGGAAGCCACTTCTAAGCTGTAACGAGCCGTCGAGCTCAGTAGGATAATCACCACCCCTGTGGTTTCAGAGCTGGTCTGGGGACAGGTAGGGGAGGCTCAGTGACATACTTGAGGGGGGTCCTGTGACTTCTTTCAGCCGGTGCTGGGAGCTGCCTTACGGGCATCCCGGTGGCCTCTGATTTTCTTGGAGGTGGAGCTGGTCCGTCAACTTCTACCGAATGGCCTTGCCCGTCCTCGTCCTCATCCTCGTCCTCGCCCTCCTCCGGCTTCATGGCTTCTGGGACAGTCTTCACGCTGAGGTACCTGAGGAACACAGAGGAGCATGACTCTGCCCGGCAGGGCCAGCCAAGATCCAGTCACTGGGCCGGACACCCCGGCCTCACCCCTGCTACTCACCGCTCCAGGAGGCCGTGGAAATCCTGCTCCACCGGCAGCTCCTTATGCCTGGGTGGGGCCGGGAGGCCCAGCGGCCCGTCCTCCGTCTCACTGCTGGCGGTGCTCAGCTCCACGTTCACATGCGATGGGCAGGGGCCGATGCTGGTGGCGTGAGGCTGGACCAGAAAGGCGGAGGGGCAGAGATTCAGCAGGTAGCCAAACACCACTTCCTAGGGACCTACCTTTCACCAGGCTCATGCGGGGCACTGAAGACTTAACAGGATAGACTCGCTGACTCTATCACCCTTTCCTGCGCGTGCAGAATGCAGGGACTGGATCGCGCGACCTTCAATACTGGCTGCCATGAACGGAACATCTGCCATATGCCAGACGCTGAACAGGCACGACTGCACAATAGTCCCTCCAGTACCTACGGCTTTTACAACCCATTTTACAGACAGAAAACCGAGGCTCAGATGACTTGCCCAGACTTACAACAGAAGCGAGGAGCAGAGCAGAGACTTGAAGCCAGATTTCCTGCCAGAGGCACCTCTCCTCACCTGCTCCTGCTGGGTATGGACACCCAGCCCCCAAAACACCTTCATTGTGGGAGCACGGGAGCCCCTCAAGATGACGCACTTGGGTTTGCACCCGTGAGCGCGTGAGGTAGCACCTGGAGGGGCTTTCCACAGTGTGAGAGTTTCCCCTACATCACTGGGCCACCAAGACCTCCGTCGTCATGGCTATCTTACCAGCGCCCAGCCCTCCGTCAGCCCCCGCCTCACCTACCATGCTGGCCCTTTCTCCTGCTCCAGTGCCTAATAGACATGCCTTCACAGCACAGGGAGCAAGGCACAGAAGACCCCACTACTGTCACCTGTGTGGCTGCTATGTGACAGCTATCCACTCACTCTGCTCAATTATGCAGAGCAAACCATGATCATCTCTCTTGGGGCTGTGATTTGGGCTAGAGAGACTTCTACAAAGTCCTTTCTGTGCAAGGCCCTTGTCTAGGGTCTCCTGACCTGTGCACAGTCCCCAACTCCATCTAGTGCTACAAGCAGGACGCTGGAGGCCACCCCCATTCCCCTTCCTCTCACCACCACTGCAAGGCCAGGCAAATGTGCCTTCTACACCTGTCTCAGGTCCACGCACATCTCTCTATCTGCCCTTCCCTTCTCCCACCTACCTGCCGATCCTCTTTTAATACCCCCTGCTGAAAACCCAGAAGAGTTTAAGGCCAAACCCTTGATGTGACCCACAAGCCCCTACATCATGGAGCCCCCGCCTTCCCCTCCAGCCACAGCTCTGACAATTGCCCCCTCACCTTCCATACTCTAACCACAGGTCCTTTGCACCGGCTGTTTCCCCTGGTGCATGGCTTCTGCTCTTCTGCGTGTAGTAATTCCCACTCAGATCTCATTAAAACATTTCTTACTCAAGGAAAGTTTCTCGGGGCCTCTAAACTCAGTCATGTTGCCCTGTTACTCTCCTAGAGCCCCATAATTCTCCTTCAGAGCCCTGAGCAAAATAGAATGAGTTCAGCAAGACAAGCAACTCCATGAGTATTAAAACCACCTACTTTTTTTTAAGTTTATTTATTTATTTGGAGAGAGAGAGAGAGAGAGCATGAGTGAGGGAGGGGTAGAGACAGAGAGAGAGAGAGAGGGAGAGAGAGAGAGAGAGAGAGAGAGAGAGAGAATTCCAAGCAGGTTCCACACTGTCAGTGCAGAGCCTGACATAGGGCTTGATCCCATGAACCCAACATGGGGCCCAATTTCACGAACCATGAGATCATGACCTGAGCCGAAATCAAGAGTTGGATGCTTAACCAGCTGAGCCACCCAGGCACCCCCCACCTATTTTTGTTGGTCGGTTTCCCACTGAATTCCCACCACGTGTCTCGGGTGCTGGCACATGGTGCATACTTCACAAGTATGCAGTGAAGAAGTCGATTAAGGAAGAAGAGAAGGAAGGAAAGGTCCAGTATGGCTGGGCAAAGAGGTACCTGAGGGCAGAGGGTCTGGGTGGCGGGTGTGGGGGCTTGTCCTGAAGGAGAAGGCAGGTGCACTGGCTGGCGTGGAGAAGGCGTGGCTGGGGGGCTGTCTGGAGTGGAGTCTGACCCGGCTCGCTCAGGCTCAGGCTGGGTGTGGTCCATGTGGTCCTTTAGCTCTTCCAGGCGAATACCCAGCTGGAATATCTCCTCCTCTAGCACCCTGGGGAGACATCAGCACCCGGACCTGTTACGGCAACCACAGCAGGCAGGTCTGGGAGGCCGTGCTTCTGAGCGGAACTTCCAGAGAATGCCCATGGACGGTCCAGTTAATGTCCCAGTTTGGATTATGTGGAGAACTCGAAAAAACAAGGTGAAAGGGGACTCGACTGGGAACAGGTGGCCTCCGCCTGAGCCCCGCTCTGCGACCAACAGGCTGTGGGGCCTTGAGTAAATCCCTTCCCCTCTGGCCTCACTTCTCTGCTCTCTGATGAGCAGTTTCAGGTCTCATCTCCAAGGTCACGTCTCATGGCAATGAGTCCAAAAGGACACACACTTCAGCCTTCAGGTGTACCCGCATCTGGATATGCTGCTAATTGGGGTAGGATTTCTCCCTGTTCCTGTAGCACATGAATTATGAGGACAAAGTGTGCCCTTCCTGGTGACTAAGGGAACCAGAGGCCTCCCTCCCCAGCACGTACCTGCCAGGATCAAATTTGCCGGGCGTCCCCTGGGGGCCGGCCAGCTGCTGGGCCGGCTGTTGCTCCCTGCAGGCCTTCAGGTACTCCTCCTCCAGGGCCGCGTGGGTGGCCTTTAGCCGCTGGAAGCCCTGAAACCAGACCAGGCCAGGAGGACCTGAGTGTGCAGCCCCCGTGGGCTCTGTCCTTGCAGATACAGTGGATGAGGGAGCTCACGGTGGGGGTGGGGCAGAAGACCCATCCTCTGGGCCCCTAAGTCCCTAGAAGGCTGGGGTTAAGACTCCCTAAAACCTGCCTGCCCCCGTCTAGCTCTCTGCCATCAGACTGGCAAGGCCGAGGCATGGCTCAGAGCCTCGGCACGGGCTCCAGAGAGCACTAGTGTTTCCTGGATAGACCTACACGTACCCCAATGTTCCATGACGGTTGCAGGCCAAATACGCCATCACTACGTCCCCCTGTGGGCCCAGTACTTGAGCGACCACGGATCCTCATTCTTATTTTCCAAACTGTGGATCTGGGAACAGTAGTCACTCTTTTCCCAAGCGCTTATGGACTGTCATGATAGATGACCATCACTACCACACTGCTGCTAACAACAGCTAAAATTTACTGAGCACTGAGGTTCTACGCTAAAGCAGTTGGCATTAGTCACTGAATTTCCAACATAGTCCTAAGGACAGGGGTAGTTTATCACCTTCATTTAAAGAGGAGAAACCGAGGCACAGAGGGTTATTTAAGTTGGTGAAGGTCACACAGTGAGGGAGCAAGTTGTAAGCAGGATTTGAACCCGGGTCCTCCAGCTCCAGAGCTCGTGGGCCTAACAGTGATGTTAGGCGTCCACAGCAAAGGTGGTGACAGCTAACAGATGGTTAAAACTCAGGAACTCAGAAGGGTCATTTCCCCTGGCTTGTGATCATCCCCATCCCCTTCATTCTATGCTGACAGCAGACTGAGTTCAAGGACAACCTAGAATCTAGTCCCCGGGCAGGCTTGATCTTCCAACAGCTCTTGACCTCCTAGATGCGGGGGAAGTACCACAGAGGGGAAGAAAAAGAAGCGTTTTGTTTTTCAAGGTCCTCGCTCATGCACTCAGTGAGATAATACAACACACATCACATATGTTGCAATTGGAAAATGGATGATGTCTATATGGTAACATAGTAATTAGTAACACAGTAATGACGTAGTAAAAATATAGCATTTTTTGGGGCGCCTGGGTGGCGCAGTCGGTTAAGCGTCCGACTTCAGCCAGGTCACGATCTCGCGGTCCGTGAGTTCGAGCCCCGCGTCAGGCTCTGGGCTGATGGCTCAGAGCCTGGAGCCTGTTTCTGATTCTGTGTCTCCCTCTCTCTCTGCCCCTCCCCCGTTCATGCTCTGTCTCTCTCTGTCCCAAAAATAAATAAACATTGAAAAAAAAATTTAAAAAAAATATAGCATTTTTTACAAACCAGGTGTATTGTATTTGCCCCTCTCCACCCCTCTTCAGCTCCCCTCCCCACGCTGCTCTGTGCCTCCAGCATCAGCTGGGCTCCACACCTGCTGGCTTCCCAGGGGGGGTCTTGCCTAGTGGGAGGCATCTGTAAGAGGTCAAAGGGCGGGAGGAGAGAGACCTGGCAGGGAAGAGCTGCGGTCCCCAGGCTGCCCTGTTCCTTGTCGCATCCCCTGACGCTGCCCACGGCCCCGCTAACAGCCCCTTCATTGACCCCACGCTTCCAGCTTTCAGAGCTCTACCTGCTCCTTTCCCGGGGTCCTGCTGATGCAGCAGAAATCTCGATTTTATATACGACTATAGTTGTCCAGAAATACCAAAATCCAAGAGGAAATAAGCCCATAATGGTTAGATTAGGGCTCCCCTCCCCTTTGCCCCTTGGTTTTCAGATACTGGGCAATCACTTTTACAAGACAAGAAAATTTTTGAAAGGGCAAGTCTCTTCTGGTGGCTGAGAGGGAGCCAGATGGGTGGGAGGCGGTGCAGACCAGGGATTACCACCGCGGACTCGGGTATCAGACAGACCTGGGTCTGGGCTCCGCTGCCTACCAGCCGCGTGGCCTTCAAGTCGCCTGTCTCGGCTTCCCCCGCTCCATTCCAGTTAAATGCGGGCGATGACTGTAACCACCTTACTGGCGTTCTATGATAAAACGCAATCATGTGCATCGAAGGCGTGCCACAGTGCCTCTGGCACACCACCACCACTGCTTAATCAGTGGTAATACTGTGATATACTGGTCCTTGTCACGGCAAGCTAAGCAGGGGCTGTCTGCTGTGAAAGGAGACGGTGTGTCTGAGATTCTCTGGCCTGTGTTGCGGCGGACGGGGCTTCAGAGACTCCACTTTGGGGGACAGAGCAGGTGTCTGGAAGCTCCAAGGGCATCTCCCGAAGTAGACGGTACCTTGAGTTGGTCCTGGGGCGTCAGCCGTCCTGCCTGCATCAGCCCTGCAAAGGATTCCACCTGGACATCGGGAGGGGAAGGAAACCCGCTCTAGTTAATCGGGACCCTGGAAGGTGAGGCCTGCAGCCCCCACGCTTAGCCACATTCGCGCCTTGGCACCAGAAACTGGGTCCCGCCTCAGGATGTGGGTTTCCTGCCAAGCACGGAAAGGCGGATGCCAGAAACTGTCTCCACCACTGGCTCTGGTCACGGCTGCCTTTGGAAAAATCAAAGCGGAGCCTCCCAGAATTTATCAATAGCAAAGCACACTCACTCATGGGCATGAAGGTCTATGACACAGGATGTTTACTGCAGCATAATGGCGGGGGCAACAGAAACGATCGTACTATCTGTGGAGTAGTACGCAGCCATCAAGAAGAGGAAAGGGTATGTGTCTGTGCTCACGTATGAACTAAGACCTACTTTTCGGTGTCAAATTGAGGTATAGCCCAGTCTTTACAATAAGCTAGCATCTGTATAAAATAGGGAGAGAGAGAAAAAAAGGAAAAATATAAATACATTTGCTTATATATTATAAACTACCTCTAGAAGGATGCAAGAAACTGAAATATTAATTGCTTCTGGGGCAGAGACCTGGGTGGTGGTGGGGACAGGGATGGGAGGAAGCATTTCTACTCTATGGACCTTCTGAACTCTGAACACAGTGAATTCATCGCCTTCCCAGAAATAAACACTCAACTTCAGGATATTAAAAAAAGTCAAGGTCCAGCATAGCATACATGCTTGTGTGACCATTTCTAAGAACACATGTGTGTGTGTTGAACACTTTTGCACGAAACAGAAGGGCAACTATGGGAAAAAAGACTCTTCACTGAATATGCCCTTTATGCTATGTGAGGTTATTGCCATGTGCATCTAATTACCTTTACAAAAAACTTTTTTTAACAAGGAAAAAAGACAAAGGATGATTTGGGGCTTTCTAGGATTTCTAGAAAAGCTCTAGATTAGTGCCAAAATGTAATATAGAAATTTATATAAATTATACATAGTTTATATAACATAGAAAACAGAGGGGCGCCTGGGTGGCGCAGTCAGTTAAGCATCCGACTTCAGCCAGGTCACGATCTCGCGGTCCGTGAGTTCGAGCCCCGCGTCGGGCTCTGGGCTGATGGCTCAGAGCCTGGAGCCTGTTTCCGATTCTGTGTCTCCCTCTCTCTCTGCCCCTCCCCCGTTCATGCTCTGTCTCTCTCTGTCCCAAAAATAAATAAACGTTGAAAAAAAAAAATTTAACATAGAAAACAGAAACATAATGCAAGCTATGCATGCAATTTAAGATTTTCTTTTTTTTTAATTAAAAATTTTTTTTTATCTTAGAGAGTGAGAGAATCTTAAGCAGGCTCCACGCTCCGCACGGACCCCAATGCAGGGCTCGATCCCACAACCCTGGGATCACGACCCAAGCCAAGATCAAGAATCAGACGTTCAACCGACTGAGCCACCCCGGCATCCCTGCAATTTAAAATTTTCTAAAACATAGAATAAAATTCTAAAAAAATTATGTCAAATGTAAAAATGTAAAAAAGAAACAGGTGAATTAATTTTAATAATGCATTTTATGAACCTAAAATATCATTTTGACATGGAATCCATGTAAACAATTATTGAGATATTTTATATTCTTTTGTCACATTAAGTCTTTGAAACCCACTGTGTGTTTTACCCTCACGGAACACCTCAGTTTGGACTGGTCACATGTCAAGTACTGACCAGCCACATGGTCTGTGGCTCCTGGATCAAACAGCACAGCCCTAGGTCATCAGGGGTCAGCTGGTGCCCCAGCTCCTGCTCGGTGTGATGACCTTGCCTTTGCTTTACAGCACACAGGACACGAAGAAACATCTCTCCAGGTATGGAACGAGGATGGTGGTGATAAACCAGGAGAAAGTACTTGTTCAGGTTACTATGATGGATGAGTTTGAGGAAGCCAGACACAAAAGGACGAAGATTATATACATCTATTTATATAAAATGTCCAGAAAAGGCAAACCCAAGGAGACAGAAAGTAAATGAGAAGCCTCCAGGGGCTGGGGGAAGGGGAATGGGGGAACTGCTTAATGGATAGGAGCTTCTCACTGGGTGATGAAAAAGATTGATCGTGGTGATAGCTGCATGACTGTGAATATAGTAAAACCCACTGAAGCATTAACTTTAAAGGAGTAAATTGTATGACATGTGAATTATATCTCAACAAAACTGTTAC